CTGTGAGCACATGCAGAGCAGACCCTGTTTTCTCTAGCACAAAGCCTGGTACATAACAGACATTAAACAAATGTTTTGCAGAGACAGGGTTTCACTATGTTGCCCAGGCTGGTCTCAAGTTTCTGGCTTCAAGCAAACCTCCCCACTGGGCCTCGCAGAGTACTGGGATGACAAGTATGAACCGCCACAGCAGCCACGTTCACTTTTCGTATTTAAACTATAGGCCCATCACTGACTACATGGCACAAATTCATTTCTGCAAGGCTATTCAGAAAAGGCAGGCCCCTATCCTTCAGCTACTTTATTCAGAATGCTCCCAGAAGAAAGGCAGCTTTGAAACTAACTTGGAAATTGAACAGAGAGGTAGGTAGCATGTAAAGCATGATTTTAGAGGTAAAACTAGCCATTCGTCAAACAGACATTTATTGAGGGTCTACACTAAGCCAGTGACTGTAGCCGACTCAGGAAACAAAACAAAACCCCTTCCCTTTTGGTCTGCAAGAAGAAAAGAGAAGAAAACTAGAAACTACAATATAATGTAATCAGTTCTATGACAGAAGAAAACTTGGAGCTCTAGAAGCGCAGGCCGGGAAACTAACTCAGTCTTGGGGGACTCACGATAGGTCCTGAAGGGTGAGTAGGAATTAGTCAGGGAGAGATGAAAACATGTCCCAGACAGAAGAAACAAGGCGGGAAAAGCTCAGAAGAGAAACCGTCAGAAGCAAATGGGAAATGGACCATAGCTCGGCATGATGGGAACACGTAGTGTGAGCACGTGGGACACAGGGTGACTAACTGTCCTAATTTGTATAGGACTGAGGGAATTCCCAGGATGTTGAACTGTCAGCTAAAAGCCTCAAGAAAAGTGGGACACGTTGATTATGCTAGTAAAAATGAAAGCAACCACGTGCCAGAACACACCATGTGAGGCCTTTCTAAGTAGCTATCGAGAGTCACTGAAGGTGGTGGTGTTTTCTTATTTTTACTTTTTATTATGGAATTTTTCCAACACCAAAAAAAGTGGAATATATAACATAATCCAGCTTCCTGAAGGGATTTAAAGAGGGGAGAAACACTATCGAATCTATGTTTAAATGATAAAGACTGAACAAGAGGTAACTTTACTTCAATGGAAGTACCAAGATGACACTAATGCAAAAAAATAAAAATGAAGAGAGAGAAAGAAGCAGCAGGGATTGCATCAGACTAGAAAGAAGAAATGAAGGCTGGGTATGGTAGCTCATGATTGTAATCCCAACACTTTGAGAGTCTGAGGCAGGCGGGATCACCTGAGGTCAGGAGTTTGAGACCAGCCTGGTCAACATGGTGAAACCCCATCTCTATTAAAAATACAAAAAATTAGCCGGGCATGGTGGCACATGCCTGTAATCCCAGCTACATCACCTGAACCCAGGAGGTGGAGGCTGCAGTGGGCCAATAATGTATCACTGCACTCCAGCTTGGGTGACAGAGCAGATTCCATCTCAAAACAAAAAACAAAAAAAGAAATGTAAGGAACAAAAATTAGGAAGAAGAATTTCAGTGACAAAGAAAATAAAGGAGGCTGTGTGAGGTGGCTCACACCTATAATGCCAGCACTGTGAGAGGCCCAAATGGGAGGACCGCTTGAGGCCAGGAGTTCGAGACCAGCCTGGGCAACTTAGGGAGACCTTGTTGCCACAAAAAATAATGATAATAATAAAAAGCCAGGTGTGGTGGCACACACACCTGTAGTCCTAGCTATGTGGGAGGCTGAGGTGGGAGGATCACTTGAGCCTGGAAGGTCAAGTGAGCTATGACTGCACCATTGCACTCCAGCCTGAAAACAGAGCAAGACTCTGTCTCCACACAAAAACAATAACCAAAAAGAAAATACAGAACCAAAAAAAAAAGAAAAAAAATCCAGGTGACATTTAGAAATGAAAGACAGTAGCCATTTAAATAATTTGAAGGAAATAAGAAAAACAATGAGTACTGAAGCATGTGGCTAGGATTCTTTGCCCTGAGTGAGAAAGTAGCACTACTTGTTTCTTTTTCAGAGACATTGCCCAGATTGAATGCAGTGGCAAAATCACTGCTCACTGCAGCCTTGAACTCGGCTCAAGCGCTCCTTCTGCTTTGGCTTCCCAAGAAGCTAGCATTATTTTTTTAAATCACCCCTACGGTAAGAGGAAGAAAAGCAAAGTGAAGGTCCAGATTCCCTTTATACCCTTTCCTTGCTATTTAGTTCAACTAAAATATTTAGGGTGATAAAAATCTCTTATATTTTGACAGTGGTCCTGATTAGACCATACTTATTTCCCATTTGTGAAAACTCATTAACCTGTACAGCTAAAAAGAGTGAATTTTACCGTGTGTAAATTATGCTTCAGTAAACCTGACTCAAAACAAAAACAAAGCAAAAATACAAGGGTGCTGAGCAGAACCTGAGAAGGAGAGGCACAGCCCCCCACATTTCACACACAGGAAGATACAATGCAGCTCTTACCCTTCTCTTTCTGAGGCCTTGTAACTTCACACTCCGGCTGAACCTGCTGCTCCTGCCGTCCTCTCGGAGGGGCTACCTCCTCCACAAGCAGTTCTTGCTTCTTTGCCCGGTCTGGGTCCTAGGGACAATTAGGTATATGGAAGCATAATTAGATATATGTGGGTTTAGGAAACTGCTGCTCAGAAAAACACCTAGATGTTAAAAAGAGAACAAAGAGGAACCCCAGAGGCGCAAAGCAAAGGTCACGGGGAATCTGGTGCATATTCCGTTTTCTCCCAGCAAGGGCCAGGAAAGGCTGAGGTAAGACCTATAGAAATGAATAGCTAGACTGGAAAAAAACGGAATCAAAGCTTAGTAATTCTCCTTCAGCTGAAGAGCCCATGTCCACCTCTCTGGCCAGAGATCTCAATTCCTGCATTCCTGAAAAAGAGCACATCTGACCCTTACCACCTGTTGTCCTGTTTCTCCAAGATCCAGCTGCAAATCCTCCAGAACCACCACCACGTCCTCCCCACTGTCTGGGTGATGCCCCTGCACCCGGGCCTGGAGCTCCTCAGGCAGGATGGTCAGAAACCGCTCCAGTACCAGCAGCTCCGGGATCTGCTCCTTGGTCTGGGTCTCGGGCTGTAGCCACTGTTGACAGAGCTCCTGAGCCGACTTGGTGCTTCTCGAGGTCCTGTGGTCTCTTCATAATGCACCTGCCTGAACTGTTTGCACAACGGCTCCTGTCCAAGGCCTTTACTGTTTCTTTGCCGCTTGAATCCCTCTTCCCAAGTAGAGTAGTGATCCTCCCTCACTTCTTCAGATTCAGGGGAGCCAGGGAGTGGGCACTCACCAATGCTGTCGCCATCCCCAGCTTCAGACTGCTCTTCCAGGTTTGGAGAACTTTCTTTCGACTGTATCTTCAGGGATACTCCTAAAAATAGAGTAACAGGAATAACAGAAACAGTAATAGTACTGCTAACAAGAACAATAACATTTTCTTGGGTTTATACATTTCCTACTATCCATCTTTTCTCTCTGAAACAACCATTTCTAAACATACATACAGAAGGAAAAAGCTATTTTACAGAAGAATACCCAGCTAATGTGGAAGGAATAATAGATTTGAAAAATCACCATTTTGTAGTCCTCAAAATAACTGAGGCTGGGCACTGTGGCTCACACTTGTCATCTCAGCACTTTGGGAGGTTGAGGCAGAAAGACTGCTTAAGCCCAGGAGTTTGAGGCCAGCCTGGGCTACATAGTGACACCCTGTCTCTACAAAAACAAAAACAAAACTGGCTAGGCACGGTGGCATACACCTGTAGTCACAGCTACTCGGGAGGCTGAGGAGGGAGAACTGCTTGAGCCCAGGAGTTTGAGTTCAGCCTGGGCAATCATAGCAACATCTATATCAAAAAAGAAAGAAAAAGAAAAGGAAAGAAAATAGACACAAGTGAAAGTCAGACAAGGAAGTAGGAAAAGTTTTTTCAGACAGAGAGAAAGAGCACAAAGCTGCTGGAAGTTCAGTACAGTAGTTAGTTACGGCTGGGAAAAGGTTATATGGAGTTTGAATCCTGGAAGATATCTACATGTAAGAAAGAGAAGTGAGATAAAACTGGAAAGGTCGGAGGAGAATAAAGGCAATGGTATCCGGAAGGCCAAGGAGGTCTATTTCTCTACATGTGGAATGGTGGGAAGGCCAAGGAGGTCTATTTCTCTACATGTGGAATGGTGGGAAGGCCAAGGAGGTCTACTTCTCTACATGTGGAATGGTGGGAAGGCCAAGGAGGTCTATTTCTCTACATGTGGAATGGTGGGAAGGCCAAGGAGGTCTACTTCTCTACATGTGGAATGGTGGGAAGGCCAAGGAGGTCTATTTCTCTACATGTGGAATGGTGGGAAGGCCAAGGAGGTCTACTTCTCTACATGTGGAATGGTGGGAAGGCCAAGGAGGTCTATTTCTCTACATGTGGAATGGTGGGAAGGCCAAGGAGGTCTATTTCTCTACATGTGGAATGGTGGGAAGAGCCTGGGCCTTAGACAGGCCTGGGTTCCAATCCAGCCCTGTCACTTACATGTTGTGACCCAGGCAATTTACTGATCCTTTTGGACTTAGTTTACTCATTTGTAAAATGAAGATAATACCTAATTCACAGAAGTTTTGAGGTAAATGAGATAATTCTAAAGAATACAAGGAATTCACTAATTATAAGTGAAATGACATGAACACAGTTTTTAAGAGATGGTGGATTAATCTAAGACCTGGCATAGATGCCTAATTCAAAAACAAAGATGTAATTGGTGACCTCTGTGAAGGTAATTTTGGTAGTGAGAGAGAATAGTTAGCCTGTCATAGGAAGTGAGAAAATGGACAGAGCAAGCATAAATTACAAATTTCAAAAAAGGAATACATTGAATGGAACAAGAGAGACAGGGTGGGTACAAACTAGAAAGGGCTAACTAGAGTTTAAGTACTATTTGTGACTTCAACTACTGTCATTATGCTGATGATTTCCTTATTCTTCAGGTCTGCTATCTCGAGTGCCAGACTTGAATTTCCTTCTGCCTATTTGGGACCAGGATACCCTACAGAAGCCTCTCAAACCCAACATGTCAAAAATGAACTCAGACAATTCCCTATCATCCTCTGCAGCAGGCCCTTGGTATGTGGGGATTTAGCATTCTTGATTTTGACTATGCCTGAGTGACCCTATAGATCAGTGACATGCACAGTGAATCAATGTGCATGTGGTAAGTGGGGGAACGGGGAAAGGCTCGCTTAACCGGTGGCTCAACCTTCAAATATTCTGCTGTTATATATTCCTGAATGTATACGTAGTAATACTTCCCAGCTGATAATTATTTTCCTTAGTCAAAATGAACTTACACTTTAAAAAGCCAGTTCCTGGTATTCTAAATAGAAGTAAAAAAGTTCAAGAAGGTGATGAATTTTAGCCAGAAAATAAAAGATTGGTATAGTAATGATTAGTATCATGTGTTAACTGGGCCACAGGGTGCTCAGAAATTTGGTCCACATTATTCTGGATGTTTCTGTGAAGGTGTTTTGGATAAGATTAACATTTAAATTGGTGGACTGTAGGTTAAAACCGAATGCCCTCAATAATGTTTGTGGGCCTCATCCAAGCAGTTAAAAGTCTGACTAGAACAAAAAGTTTGACTCATCCCTGCATAAGAGAATCCTTCCTGTCTGAAGTGCTTCAAACTGAATCATTAGCTTTTTCTTGCCATCAGGCTTGGAACCAAAACAGCTCTTGGTGAACCTCAAGTCTATGGCCTTTGGACAGGAACTACACCATCAACTCTCCTGGTTCTCAGGCCTTTGGGCTTGAACTGGAACTAAACCATTTGTTCTCCTGAGTCTCCAGCTTGAAAACTCATTCTGAAGATACTGGGGCTTTCCGGCCTCCGTAATGACCTACGTTAATTCCTTCTAATAAATCTCTTTCTAGATTGCTTCTTTACTGATATAGATATCCTACTTACACAAATATTAATATGAATGCAGGCATGTGTGTGTGTGTGTGTGTGTGTGTGTGTGTGTGTAATTCACATTATTTGCATTTATACATACACCTGTATTCGTATTTTATATATATACCTGTATTTGTATTAGTTTATGTGTATAGGTATCTATACCGATATTCGTATGTATCTATGCCATATACATATACATACAAACACACTGATACCTATATCGGTGCTGTATATATATAAATAAATAAATATATGGCATGACACTGATATATATATGGTATGATTTGTTTTGTTTTTGTTTTTGAAACGAGTCTCCCTCTGTTGCCCAGGCTGGAGTGCAGTGGCTCACCATTACCTTCGCTTCCCAGGTTCCGGTGATTCTCCTGCCTCAGCCTCCCGAGTAGCTGGGATTACAGGTACCTGCCACCATGCTCAGCTAATTTTTGTATTTTTAGTAGAGACAGTGTTTCACCATGTTGGCCACGCTGGTCTTGAATTCCTGACCTCAAGTGATCCATCCTCCTCGGCCTTCCAAAGTGCTGAGATTACAGGCATGAGCCACCGTGCCTGATAGGGTATGATGCTGAATTAGTGAGTTCATTTCTATAATGTGATTAAATATATCAAACACAGTATGTAACAAATCCTTTGATAAACTGTTTTGGGAGGAGCTCCAACTACCCAGCTATTTAAGCCAGAAAACTGACCATTGCTTCCTTCTTTCATGTCTCATGTATCTGATAAATCAAGTTCTATTGATTCTATTGCTTAAATATCTCTCAAATCAGTCACTTCTCATCCCCTTTACTACCATCTTTTCCTACCAGACTACTGCGACAGACTGGTCTAACACACCAATCTATTTTCCACAGGCAAACAGTGATCATTCTAAGGAGGATATGAAACAGTATTATGTCCCTGCTATGCCTTAGGATCAAGTTCAAACTGAAACCATTTAATATGGTTTAATTCTTTTGTGCTGTAATGAACTACTTTATTTCCTCCAATTTGCAATACTCCTTCTTGCTCCTTGGCCCTTCCACAGCTTATTCCTTCTGCCTGGACCCACCCTCCAGCCCTCCAATTTTCTTCTCACACTTCATGTCTCAGCACAATAAAACAATGAGCTAGGACAACTATACTAGATGTTTCACATACATTAATTATTTAATCCTCACACAACCCTATAAAAAATACTATTCCTAATTTCATCGTGCAGAGAAGGAAATTGAGACGTGGAGAGTAGAAGAATTTACACGAGATCCTAAAGACCAACCTCAGATCTATCCTCCAGTATCTCTTGAATCCACAGGCCCAAAACTTTGGATTTATTTTTGCCTTCTCTCTTACTGTCACACCCTACATCTGACCCAGTAACAAATATTACTGGCTCTATTTTCAAAGTAGATCAATACTCTGACCACTGGCTCAAGATATCCTTATCTCCCACCTGAATGACTTGCAATTTTAAAAAATGACTCTTAAGTTTTCCATTCTTGCCCACTTACAATCTATCATCATCATGAGTCTCCAGGTAAAGATGCTTTAAAACATAAGTCAGATCATGCTTTTTTTTGCTCAAAATCCTCCAAACACACACACACAAAGACAGAATTCCTTACACGATATAATGCTCATTTAGTCTACACTTTTCCTCTCCACATCCCAATCTCCCTGACATTCCGCACAAAGGTCGCCTCTGTTCACGGCTCCAACCACTCTGGTCTCCCCGTTATTCCTCAAACACGACAAGCAAGCTCCTGGTTAGGACCGTTGCACTTGCTAGTCCCTCTACCTAGAAAGTTCCTGCCCGCAAAAGCAACGCAGGTCTTTCCACCCACCCTCTTCAGATTTCTGCTCAAATATTACCTTCTCGGTGACGCCTACCTTGAATACCTACTTAAAATCGCGCTCAATGGACGAAAAATACGCAACAGAAAGTTGGGCTCGGTTAACTAGGTCCGCAGCTTCATCACTCTAGGCCCCAGGACCGCCACCTCCGCCACGGACCCCGCCCCCTTGGTCGAGGGAACGTTCTCAGCATCCGCGGGGAACCAGCTGCTCCCCAAACCCATAGGCCGCGGTTCTGCCCCAGCCCCGGAGCCCGACTTGAAGGTCCGCCTACCTGGCCAAGGGGCCGCAGAAACGCCAAACGCTCTGAAACAGCGTCTCAGCGCATCGCCGAGGGTCAGCTCTAGCTCTTCGGAGCACTTTCTTCTCCGCTCTAGGAACGCTGGAGGACCGAGGCTCGATGGTGCCGCCGCTTAGGCCTCGCAGAAAAGGGCTGACTTGCGTCCAGCCGGCTGAGGTCCGATGGTTGGTAGGGTCATTTCCTTGTGAGCTGAAATTGTTGGTTTTTCTTTTCTCATTTTAAAGACGATGTTTATTTCATTCATGTAAAAACAGGCCAGCCCCGATGAGTGTCATCACAGCCAGCGTTTTCACTTTGCTCACATAAATAAAACACATACTTCGCCATTTTTTCCACAATTAAAAAATTCATCAATGGAAAAAATAATTGTCAAAGTATTTTGAAAATTAAACAGTGTACATATGTTTGATTGAAAGGTTTAAGGTAATAAGAAATTAAGTCTATTACTGTGAGAGAAAATAAATCAACATTTTGCAATGAATGTAGGCTTCAGGGTGAATAAAAGCAACAGATATCATTTTATCAAAATAAATTCTACATCAGAGAATAGAAATAGTCTCTGTCTTGCCCACAGTATCACAAACTGGGTTTTTATAGTTTTTGTATAAGATGAACTCTCTGAACACTTACACATTGCTGGTGGGAATGTAAATTAGTTCTGCCACCATGGAAAGCAATTTGGAAATTTCTTAAAGAACTTGAAACAGAACTTTTATTCCACCCAGCAATTCCATCATTGGGTATACGTCCAGAGGAATATAAACTGTTCTACCATAAAGACCCATGCATGCTTATGTTCATCACAGCATTTTCCACAATAGCAGAGACATGGAATCAACCTAGATGCCCGCCAATGGTGGACTGGATAAAGAAAATGTGGTACCTACACCATGGTATATCATGCAGCTATAAGAATGAGATCATGACCTTTGCAGCAACATGATGCAGCTAGAGGCCATTTATCCTAAGCCAATTAACACAGGAAGAGAAAACCAAATACTGCATGTTCTACTTACAAGGGTGTACTAAACGTTGAGTAGACATGGACACAAACAGGGGGACAACAGACACAAGGACTTACTTGAGGGTGGAAGGCGAAAGGGAAGTGAAGATTGAAAAGCGTTACCATGCTACCACCTGGTGACGAAATCATTCATACACCAAACCCCAGCAGCATGCACTTTATTCACGTAACAAACTTGCACATGTACCCACTGAACCTAAAACAAAAGTTGGAAGAAAGAAAAAATAAACTCTTTAAAAAATCTTAAACTTTTGTTTAACTTATCAGTTGATAGAAACTTTGAAATATTAAATATACAAACTGTTGTACTATGACATGTAATTTATTCAGTGTTTCAAGGATTGAAATTATCATAACAGAAAAGAAAAACCAACCAGTTTCATTATCACAAGCAGTTATCTTTTCTTCTTGGGTGTCTGAATGTATGTTTGAAAGCATATTTTTAAAGTAAAAGTTAAATATAAACTTTTCATTAAGCCAACAAATCTAGTCAACATAAATGTATTACTAATTAGAAGTCAATATTCTTTCTTGAATAGAAAACTTGTATATCTTATTTTTAATATCTAGAAAGCACTTTTTAAAAAAAAATTATATAAGGAATAGACATAAAGAAAATTTAAACAGAAAGCAAATACTATGTCCTATTATTTACTCCCCCTCTAAAACTCCCTACCCTGACTAGTTTCTTAAATCTGTCACTTTTATTATCAATACTGAGATTATTGGCATTGCGTTGGATAGCTCATGAAATCAAAACATTTAAAGTAGCTAGACAAAGAAGAGTTGTTTTTTTTTAAATTTTCAAGCTGTGCATTTTTTATTTAAACAGTCCATTTGTATCTTTTGGGAGCAGTAGGAGTAGATAAGGTGAGAATAATTTAAAACACCATTATCATCAGGACAGACAACATACAGAAAATACAAATCAATTTTCAAAGTTGAGGTTTTCATCTTCCAAGATTATCCTCATTTTTGTAAACTATAGTGATCATGTTTCTACCACGTTCATTCATAGGATATTCAAGATAAGACCTTTCTTTCCATACCATCAATAGAGATGCTATTGCATTACAAGTCATGCCATCATGCTGCGGCATAAGATTTGCAGTTCTTATCCTTTGGTAATCATGCTTCCTGTTCTTCTCTCTGCTTCTACAGCAAGGTCTCATTCATTACTCTGAGTTTTTAAATAAATTATTTGCCCAGTGATTCTTCTAAACAATCAAAGCCTATAAATGAATCTAACAAATTTAACCTATAGTCTAATATTAGGAAACCTATAACTTTAAGTCACCATATTAGTAGGCTGATAAGGAAAAATAATATAATTTCCACAATGCTACAATGTCATTTCATAAAACTCTACATATATTTTTGACTAAAAGCAGAAACTCCTAATAAAAACTAAATAGATGGATGCTTCCTTTATAAGACAAAATTAAACACCTCAAATATACCAGAAACCTCCCTTATATTTGATGGTGAAATCTTAGACATATCCCCCATAAATTAAAATTAAAATCTAGCTGAATTAATTAGGCTAAGAATTAGCAACTTTGGCAGCAATTTTGCTAAATCTATAATTTCTTACTCCCTAAACTGCTGGTAGCTAAGATTAAGAAACACCTTCCCTTGTGCTATAGAACTTTAAAAAAAACAAGCATGAAATACCCATTAAACCCCTTATATCAGTGGGAGATTTTTATATTTCGTGAAACACTATTTTTGATAATTCCACAAAGTCATATAGTAATGGTCTATGAGAACATTAATGCTATTCCATAAAATGCATCCATTGTAAATTGGCAGTAGCCTCGCTAATTTGCTTTCTTAGGCTGTTTCTCAGCACTGAATAAAACTCAACATAACTCTGGTGGCTAAGACAAGTTATGTGATCTGTTCAACTTCCTGCTTGAGCAGAGTGAAATAATAAAGTGATTTTGATGGCTTCTTGAAACGTAAACATAACATAAAATTTTTGTTGTGCCGTTTTTCTTCTATTTCACAATCAATAACTACATACTCTGGGCAAAACTACTTCAAAGGAAAAGTTGTTGTAACCCTTTTTATTAGCTCCCCTGAGACAACAGTAGTCTGCAGTCAAATTCCAGCTTTTGAAATCTCTTTTAAGGCAGATGTACTGGCCAAGTCCTTCTCTAATAGCAACTTTAAATGGCAAGTGAAGCATAATTACAGCTATCATGAGTATTCCACTGCAGGCCTTACAAATACTATTGGTTGTATGGTGTGTATTTCATCTTTCTGGGAAAAAAGCTCACTAATCTTGCCTTGGCTTAGTTAGAAGTCACAGTTTCTCAGCTGTACCTTCTTCCAAGTGAGAAAGATAAAGATACTTGCTCGGCCACTATTAGAAAATCTTTTGAGGCCTTAAAGGGCATTATAGACAAGTGTCTCCCAGAAAAAGCAAGTAAAAAGTAAATAACAGTGAAATATATTTGCAAGATATTTGACAAAGATCTAATTTATTTATTAAAGCATTTTTATGATCAGTAAGAAAAAGACCAACAACGTCATAAAAGAATAGACAAAGGTTATCACAGGAGCAGTTCACATACACGCAAAAGAATTTCAAAAGACTCATAAACACATCTATGAACAGATGCTCTACCTTATAAAAAATAAAACGTCATTTTCACCTTAGATTGAAAAAGATGAAGAGGTTTGAAAACACAGTATTGGTGATGATGATGGTGAGTGTGTAAACAGAGAGGGGGTGTTGCAGTATCTATTAAAATTGAAAAGCACTCAGAGCTGAAATGTGACATCCTTAGACTTTAAGCATTTTATCAAAAAAGATCCCCCCAACACCGTCTGTAGCCTCTTACTTTTTTCACGTCGTACCGTAATTTGTAGTTTTTGTCTGTCGGCTTTTGTGAGTCTGTCTCCCCCAGTAAGATGTAAAATTCTATGATGGCAAGGAGCAAGTTTAACTCGTTTCTTGGTTTATCCGCAGTACCAGCCACAGTGCCGAATACATAGGAAGCACCTGACATTTTCCCCTTGTTTCAATAATTCGGTCTTGAAGTCAGCATTTCTAGATGATCCACAAGATTCTTTTTGACCTAATATTCATCTATTTTCAGATGATATGCTACAGATACACTGTCACATATTCACAGAGGCTTTCACTATAATGCTGTGTGATAGCATAATATAGAAAAACCTCTCAACCATGCAACAAAATATGGTGCTTTCATAGAATGGAATACTATAAGGTTATTTAAAAGAAAGTTTGATATGTATTGATATAAAACATTAAAAGAGCAAAGTGTCAATCCATGTGTATAGCGTGGTATCATTTGTTCTAAATGGAAATATGCACATGTAACAGCATGGCTATCACCAATATGCAACAAGCCGCTTTGGGGAAAATCTCAAGCTGGTGTGGTCCAGCGTCAGCCATGTCACATCTTGTGGAAGAGTAAACGTGCCCTTCCGCATCACACTGCCCTGCCAGATTCTAGAACCCCATTTCCTCACCTGCAACTGTCCGGGGGCTAATCAGTCTTTTGAACTGTGAAAAGGGGGTTGCTCAAATGAGAGATCGTTTGGATGGTGTTAAAGTCTCAGGGTCCAGGCACATATCACGGAACGACAAAAAGGCCTTTTCATAGACCTTTAGTGGAGATCACCCTGAAGTTTTCTCTGACGATTAGCCAGTCTCTCGATGCTAATTCTGTCCTTGTAGTCCCTCCTGATCTGCTCTCCTCGAGTTCTGCCAACTACCTTATTCTTCCTCTGGTTCTCTCTTGTTAGTCCAAATGGCAACATTTTGTAAGTCTCCCACCAGGTCTCAGACCTTGATCAAAGTGAAACATTCCACGGGGTTCGGGCCATGAGAAACAGGCTGCCCTTTCTCATATTGTGCTGGCAAAAGGGCCAGGAACATTATATTCTGTGGGAACAAGAGCCAAATTGCCTCAAAATGTCTTATCAACATCTTCCCTGGCAGCAAGCCATACTGCCCAGACCCCTCCTGCTCAGGCCTACAAGTACCCCAGCCTGTAAGCAATGGTAGGCACTGGCATTAGGTTGGTCCCCAACTCTGTAGGTGTTATGCCGGACACAAATCCTGCATTTGCCGTGTGTGTGTGTGTGGTGCGTGTTTCTTTAACCCTCGCTTTCCCTTCAAAATCTAACATCTCACTTTTTCTGGGAGTGGGGGTGGAGATTAGTTCTTGCTCTGTTACTCAGGCTGCTCTTGAACTCCTAGCCTCAAGCAATTATCTCACCTCAGTCTCCCAAAGGGCTGGGACTACAGGCAAGCCATCATGCCCTGGCATTCTTCTTTATACCTTATCATTTTTTCTTTCTCTTGCCAGTCTAGATGGCCCAAATCTACTCAAGCACTCTGATATTCATCTTCTATATTTTTTTATGAATAAAGCTTATATCCTCTTAAATCAGGATTTGGCTTCTAGTAGTCAAAGCCAAGCTTTTCTACAAGAAAATTTTCGCTTCTAACGTGTACTTTCACTATATGCTTTTAAAAAATGATTCAAAACTGTAGTAGGCATTTATTAGTTGTCTACCTCCCTTGCCCAACCTGATTTTCATTCCAGAATCCACTCCCGTACAACTGGTCTACAACTCCACAGATGAGCGATTCTATTTCCTAAGCAACAACACTTGTTTTGAGTGGGCAAGTGGTCCAAGCTCATCCCATTATGGTGAATCTCTGGATTCCTGCTTGGATTGGCAACTCAGAAATGTTCTCTCTTCAGAGGTGGACCAGAAAAAAGGGTAACCAAACTCAGGAGGCTTCACAGCACTTTTGTTATATAAGGGAAACCAGCCCAAGGTAAACGACCCTTGGAAAAGGAAAGTGGAGAAGAAAGCCAAAGTTCAATTAACATGCAGGAAATCCATCCTTCTTCCAGACTTTTCAAGAGCCAGTAAATATTTTCTGTTTTCTAACTGAAAGTAGAGGTGTACACTTAATGGAATCCTTTTGTTCTTTCTGGGCTGCTTTTGGTCCCCCTGGGGCAAATGAATGGCAAAACAGAGTAACAGGGGAAAAAAACTTTAATAGCTCTTAACCTTTATCCTGCAACATATACCGTTGTGTATGTGCAGAATGTACATCCCGTGTAGAAGACACCAAAAAAGATATTTTTTGGAAGAAAGGTGTCAGGGACTGCCGTGAAAGATTCACTTTTTACTAACTCCCCTCCTGTAATGACTATTTTTAAAACTGTTACTTTCTAAAGTCAAAAAAAGAAGCTGCTAAAGACATCTCAAAAGTTTTTTCCTGAGACGCTGACTACTCTGGTAGTACAGTCCTTTTAACACTTTGGGTCAAATGAAACTTCCTGTTAAACGTCCTGCTGTGCAACTAAGCCCTTACTCGCCATCTTTCCCTTTTGTCTTTTTGTACACCATCTCTCGAAAACTGGCTAAAATCTTATTTTCTCTCTTTTGTCTCTCTTTTTGGTTAAAGGATGCAAGAGCTCTCTTCTCATCAGCACTATAGATTTGGTTCTCCTTACGTAGTCGTACAGCCTCCATTCTGCAATGCCTGCTACCACTCATGACATAACCTGAGCATTCAAAAGAAGCGATCTCTTCACTTGTCAACCCAATTTCACCTCTTCGTGGGATTCGCTTTCCAGCTTTTACATATTCAGCCATAGCTGCACCTTCACCAGGGAGCAAAGCATGGCCATAGTTCAAAGGTTTCTCATCTTGAGAGGTATGTGTTATAGGTGCTTCTGGACCTATTAAATCCATAGTATCTGCAATATTTGGCTGCTCCGTCCACGTATCTTCAGACAACTCCTCTTGTGAACCTTTACAGCTTGAGTCACTAGATTCTTTTTCAGTCTTATTCTTTTTCTTGGGTTCTTTTGTTTTGTGTTTCTTTTTCTTCTCTTTCTTCTTGGCTTTTTTAACTCTCTTTTTATCATCATCAGAGTTAGACTTTTTTTCTGGGTTTGAGTTACCGTCACTATCATCAGAAGACTTCCTATGTTTTCTTTTAGACAACTTATTCTTTCTTTTTTTCTTGTTTCTTGAACGACTGGTCTTCTTTTTCCCGTTTTCTTCCGAGCTGGAGTCTGAGCCGCTGCTCCTCCTATGCTTTACCTCTTCATCCTCAACTGGGCTATGTTCATTAGAATCTGGTTCAGGGAAGTTTGGAGACAGGCCCCACACCTCAGGCGCTCCCAACTCCCCAATCCTCTCTCTCTCCTTCAGCCTCCTCTGCGCATCTCCTTCGTGTAGTCTTCCACCCACTGCCGTTCTTCCGCATGGCGGTGGTGACGGTGGCGACATCCGCTATACGAGGTCAAGGAGGAGGAAGGTAAAGCGTAGGTGCGGAGCCCCGGGGGCCGCTCCTGCGACCCAGAGGTACAACAGGGGTAAAGAGCGCCCACGCCAGACTCACTACAAGGAGACCTGAAGCCCTCACGGCCGTCCCTAGAGGAACGTCTGCTCCGCGCGGATGGTGGGCTCCCCGAGGAGCTGCGTCGCCGTCTACGAGAGCTCAGGATGTCCTCGGAATAGCGGGACCGGGAGACTGAGGGCATGAGCCGCGACTCAAACGGTCAACGCTGGGCGATTAGAGACACAGACGGTGAGCGGCGATTCGTGGCTGCGCAGGCGCACTACACACGGCCTCCCGCGCAGGCGCACTACACACGGCCTCCCGCGCAGGCGCACTACACACGGCCTCCCGCGCAGGCGCACTACACACGGCCCCCCACGCAGGCGCACTACACACGGCCTCCCACGCAGGCGCACTACACAAGGCCTCCCACGCAAGCGCACTAGAAACGGCCGCCCACGCACGGCTTCCGCTTCCTGTCAGTCACCAAAAGAAAAACGAATCTGCGCGTGTGCTGTGAGGCGCCGGCCCTGGCCGAGGTTGCGTGAAAGTTTCTTGTGGGAAGTGGATAGGATTAGGGCGCGCTTGTATTTAAGACTTAAATTCCCCAACCTGAGCCGTGCGGGAGCATGAAAGGACGAATTTGCGTCTATGATTCTCTCTACTATTGAAACACCCACTTCCTCAATTTCGCCTTTTACCATTTTGCTTCTCACCCTTTGTTCTTACCCTTCATTCCCGTCTCCTTAACTTTACCCCTCTGTGGAAGATCCCTACTATCAACGCTCCTCCTTTTTTCCTTCCTAAAAAAGGAACTTGTCCATCCTCTTCGTGGAGGAAATGTGTTTAATTAATCACGTCCCAGTCTCCCTTGTTACCACGGGAAGCAAGCACCAAAACTTCTTTTGAATCAATTTCTCAGTCTCTGAGCTAGGTGAAGGACAGAGTTGTACTTTTTTTTTTTCCTTGAGACGGAGTTTCGCTCTTGTTACCCAGGCTGGAGTGCAATGGCGCAATCTCGGCTCACAGCAACCTCCGCCTCCTGGGTTCAGGCAATTCTCCTGCCTCAGCCTCCTGAGTAGCTGGGATTACAGGCACGCGCCACCATGCCCAGCTAATTTTTTGTATTTTTAGTAGAGACGGGGTTTCACCATGTTGACCAGGATGGTCTCGATCTCTTGACCTCATGATCCACCCGCTTTGGCCTCCCAAAGTGCTGGGATTACAGGCTTGAGCCACCGCGCCCGGCCTTTTTTTTTTTTTTTTTTTTTTTTTTTTAAGGAAACGATCTTACTCTGTCGCCCAGGTTGGGGTGCAGTGGAAGGATCACAGCTCAGGGCAGACTTGACTTCCCGGGATCAAGTGATCCAGCTCAGCCTCCCAAGGAGCTGGGACTGCAGGTGCCCACCACCACGGCAGGCTGATTTTTAAATAATTATTTGTAGAGACGGGTGTCACTTTGTTTCTGAGGCTGGTCTCAAACTCCTGGGTTCAAGGGATCCTCCCACCTCAGCCTTCTCAAGTGCTGGAATTACAGGCGTGAGCCACCATGCCCGGCCAAGAGTCATTATTTTAATTATTAAATTCACAGACTTTCCCACCCAAGAAACACACAGAAGCATCCCACTCCATCTTGTAGACAGAAATCTTTCTATCTAGGGAGATTTCTTCAGAAACTCTGTAGTTTGGAAACCATTTTCTGTATACACATTATTTCTCACTCTCAGAAATGACAAACATTTTATACAAGATCATTTATCCCTCATCTTAAAATGTAAATGGGCATTGACATCATCTTGGTTCTCTCTAATTAAGTTGATCTGCTCAGGTTTGACAGCCGGGCCAAAACTTAAGAATGATACTTTCCTGATGCTAGAACTCTAAATAACAAAATGGGGGAAATTAAATAGAATAAGACCAAATTATATCATTTGCTCTAAGTAAAAATTTAGTAATTTGATTGAAGGGGATAAGGATTGGTTCCATGCATAAATTATGTGAATTTAGGAAGGGGTAAACAGCAGGGAATATTACATGTGAATGGTCATATGTATAGTGAAAATATATGGATAGAGTAAGTACCATAGAGTTTCTGTAAGTAAATAAAATTTTTTTGGAGTTATAAACTACTTGATAGGCCAATGAAATGGATATGTCTTACTTGGATAACTAAATTTAAGCCATTTAGTATCTGATGTAAACTCGAATTAACAAGTTGGTTGATGGAATACTTATTTCAGGTAGCACACAGGAAAGTGAAATTTAGAATATATTTTTGATCTTTAGAAAAGTTATGACCTAGACTAGGGGTCGGCAACCCTTTTTTGTAAAAGGCCAATAGTAAATATTTTAGGTTTTATGGGCCAAGAGGCAGAGTTAAGGATATTATTACATATTTTTAAGACAAAATGTACATTTAAAAAATGATAAAGCATAATCAACAATTTGTTCAATTATTCCAAGGAATAGATAACTGTTTCTTAAAATTTTTATTTTGCTTTAAGTTCCGGGATACATGTGTAGAACGTGTAGGTTTGTTATGTAGGTTTACAAGTGCCATGGTGGTTTGTTGCACCTATGAACCCATCATTTAGGTTTTAAGCCCCACAAGCATTAGCTATCTGTCCTGATGCTCCCCCTCCCCTCCTTCACCCCCTACAGGCTCTGGTGCGTGTTTTTCCCCTCCCTGTGTCCATGTGTTCTCATTATTCAACTCCCACTTATGAGAGCATGTGGTGTTTGGTTTTCTGTTCCTGGGTTAGTTTGCTGAGGACAATGGCTTCTAGCTTCGTCCATGTCCCTGCAAAGGACATGAGCTCATTCCTTTTTTATGGCTGTATAGTATTTCATGGTGTATATTACATACTTATAACAAAAGAAAAAGCACATTTTTATTGATGCAATATAATTATATTATTATTCAAACGATAATTGAGTATAATTTTGTAATGCATATCTTCTAATGGGAAGAATTAAATTCTTTTTTGGATGAAAAGCATTTTGTTTAATTAGGGTTCTGCCCTTGTAGGGCAAAAGTAGCCATAGACAATATGTAAGTGAATGAACAAGGCTGTGTTCCAACAAAACTTTATTTATAGACACTGAAGTGAATTTCATATGATTTTTACTTTACTAAATTTTATCATTCTTTTGATTTTTCCCCCAGCCATTAAAAAATATAAAAATAATTCCTCACTCAGACCATTAAGAAAACAGGCCATGGGCCAGTTTTGGTGTATAGGCAGCAGTTTGCTAAGCCCTGACTTAGCAGAAAAAGCAGTGGTGCAGAAAGTATGCTTATAGGGATAAAAATAAATGCCTACCATAACTTTTTATGAGAAGATGGGCTTTTGTTTTCTAAATTTTATTTATAGATGATCAAATATTCATTTGTATAGAACATAGAAATATATTTGAAGAACTTTATGAAAATGGGGAACGTTTTTAAAATAACAATACATTTTAATCATTAAGGAAAGTACCAGCTGTTGAACGCTCAGCTAAAATGGAATTGTTCTCACAGGTAGCATTTTACTATCTTTCTTAAAATTTCTCAGAATTGTTTTCCATAAATCTTTCCTCCCGTTTTATTTTAATATTTTTTGAGACAGGGTCTTACTCTGTTGCCCATGCTGGAGTGCAGTGGTACTATCATGGCTCACTGCACCCTTGACCTCTTGGGCCTAAGAGATCCTTCCATCTCAGCCTCCCCAGTAGCTAGGACCACAGTTGCATATCACCATGCCCAACAGATTGTTGATTTTTTATAGAGCTAGACCCAGTCTCTAGACAGATGTTGCCCAGGCTGGTCTCAAACTCTTGAGCTCAAGTGACCCTCCCACGGCACAGTCTTTGAAAGTGCTGGCATCACAGGCATAAGCCGCCATGCCCAGCCCCCAATTTCTATTTTAAAAACTTTCAAACCTACAGAAAAGTTCAAACACCCATATATCACTTACCTAGATTCACTAGTTGTTAAGGTTTGGTTTCTTACTCAAAAGAAGATTGCAGGCATTGTAAGGCTTCAGCTCCAACTGTTTCAGTGATGGATGCATAAGAAGGATGTTTTCCTTATACTCACGATGTCGTCCTAACAGTCAAAACGTATAGGATATGTTTAAAATTCTTCAACTGTTCAAAAAATGTCATTGAGGTGGGATTGAATATTTCGTGTGTGTTTTTAAATCTAGAATCCATTCAAGGTTCATGCATAGCATTTATTATAACACTTCAGTCTCTTAAATCTAGAACAGTTTATCTGCCGTCTGAATGTTTGTGTCCCTTTATAATTCCTATGTTGAAATCTAATCACCAATGTGATAGTGTTAGGGTATGGGGCTTTGGGGAGGTAACTAGGTCATAGGAGCAGATCCCTCATGAGTGGGATTAGTACCCTTATGAAAAAGGTCCCAGAGAGCTGCCTTGCCCCTTCCACCATGTAAGGACACAGCTAGAAGGTGCCATCTGTGAACCACAAGGCAGACCCTCCCTAGACAACAAATGTGCCTACACCTTGATCTTGGATTTCTCAGCTTTCACAACTGTGAGAAATAAATTTCTGTTGTTTATAAGCCACCTGGTTTACAGTATTTTGATACAGTAGTCCAAAGGGACTAAGGCAGTCCCCTCAATTTATTTTTTAATTTATTGACATAGTTTGAAGAGGCCAGGGTGATTGTTTTTAAAAATATCTCACAATTTGAATTTATCTGATTGTTTCTTCAAGATGAGATTCAAGGTGGTCGTGTTTGGCTGATCACATAGGTGCTATTGTATGTATCTTATTGCATGACACAAGGAGGCACTTAATATTAGTTTGTCCCTATCTATATTTATTATTAAGAAAATCCTGGCCGGGTGCAGTGGTCATGCCTGTAATCCTAGTACTTTGGGAGGTGGAGGTGGGCAGATCACTTGAGGTCAGGAGTTTGAGAATAGCCTGGCCAACATGGTGAAACCTCATCTCCACTAAAGGAACAACAATTACGTGGGCGTGGTGGTGCATGCTATAGTCCCAGCAACCTGGGAGGCTGAGGCAGGAGGATCGCTTGAACCTGGGAGGTGGAGATTGCAGTGAGCCGATATCATGCCAGTGCACTCCAGCCTGGGTGACAGAGTGTGACTCTGTCTAAAAAATAAAAAAAAAAAAAGAAATTCCTAATATGCAAATTTATAGAGTTCTGGAGACAAACTGGAATTCAATTCCTTTCTAAATTACTTCAGGCTGCCTCTACACATATACTTAGTGACCTTTACACACAAAAACAACAATAAAGGCAACACTTTGCTTTATGTCGATATGAGACTTTCACTAATGAGAACCGTGTTGAAGCATCTAAAACAAAAACAAAAATTAAAAACAAAAACTGACATGGTATAGTGTTTATAGCATAAGGTTAGGTTAAAAAAAACTACATCAGCCATAAAATGAATGAAATTATGTCTTTTGCAGCACCATGGATAGAACTGGAGGCCATTATCCTAATGAAATAACTAAGAAACAGAAAGTCAAATACCACATGTTCTCACTTATAAGTGGGAGCTAAACCGTTGGTACAAATGGACATAAGAGGCGAATAATAGACATTGGAGATTCTAAAAGGTGGGAGGGTGGAAGGGCTTGAAGGTTGAAAAATTACCTACTGGGGCCGGGCACAGTGGCTCACACCTATAATCCCAGCACTTCAAGAGAGGGAGGCAGACTGCTTGAGCCCAGGATTTCAAGACCAGTCTAGGCAACGTGGAAAGACCCTATCGCTACAAAAAACAAAAATAAAAAATTAGCCAGGTGTGGTGGCATGCACTGTGGTCTGAGCTACTTGAGACGCTGAGGTGGAAAGATTTGTTGAGCCCGGGAGGTCAAGGCTGCAATGAGCCATGACCGTGACACTGCATTCCAGCCTGGGCAACAGAGTGAGACCCTGCCTCAAAAAAAAAAAAAATTACCTATTGGGTACGATGTTCACTATTAAGGTGACAGGTACACTAAAAGCCCAGACTTCACTATGCAATACATCCATGTAACAAAACTGCGCTTGTACCCACTAAATCTATAAAATATTTAAAAACTGCATCAATATTCTATCTGTTCAGGGATTAAAACCGGGCAAAAATTGTGTATTTTGACAAAGACTAAGAAAGAACTTGGAGTAACACATCCCTCCTTTAAAAGACTTAAGTCACTGGCATTTCCAATGACTTAAATTTTTATTTTTATACCTTTTCTAAAAAGTCTGTGCTGGTGACCTGATCATTACTGAAATGGCATCCCAGTGAACATAAATCATTCAGGTAAACTTACTGAGAAAGTGTCAATACAAGGAGTAGCCAATCAGCTTAAAATCTCTATCTTCTTAGGGGCAATTCCAAGTGTTATAGCAGCTCTATGACATCATGAATGTTCCATGTTTCTTCTCTTTCTGCTTCAATATTTTTCAATAACTTTCTGCTTCCAGCAAATGGCTTTCACCTTCATGGTTGCCTCCTCATGAAAAGATGGCCATTCTACCAAATAGGAAGGGAGGGCCAAAGGTATGGGCTAGTTTGAGTCATTCTAGGAAGAAAGAAGGGCCAAAGGTATGGGCTGTTTGAGTCATTCTTTTTTTCTTTTTTTGGTATAAAATACAGTTTTCCTGGCTGGGCGCAGTGGCTCAAGCCTGTAATCCCAGCACTTTGGGAGGCCGAGGCGGGTGGATCACGAGGCCAACAGATCGAGACCATCTTGGTCAACATGGTGAAACCCCGTCTCTACTAAAATTACAAAAAATTAGCTGGGCACGGTGGCGCGTGCCTGTAATCCCAGCTGCTCAGGAGGCTGAGGCAGGAGAATTGCCTGAACCCAGGAGGCGGAGACTGCGATGAGCCGAGATCGCGCCATTGCACTCCAGACTGGGCAACAAGAGCGAAACTCCGTCTCAAAAAAAAAAAAAAAATTATATATATATATATATATATATAGTTTTCCTAAAAACTCCATTCAGTGGTTTTGCTTTCATCTCACTGTCTGGAATTGGGTCAAAAGGCTCCCTCTATCTTCAAGTGTTTGGAGAGATACATATTTTCAAGTGGTCACATTGTTATACAGAAAGAAACAAACAAACAAGAATCTCTTAACATGACAGAATAGGGGACCGGACATTTGGTAGTCAGAGTGTCCTGTGGGATAGAGGAACTGACAGCTTTGAAGCATTGTGTGCATAGTCACTTTTCAGAAGTTTCCTCAGCTAATCTTCACAACTCTGAGATGCTGGATGGAGCTTTTTCATAATTCTGCAATCCACAAGAATATACTTTTCATCATCTTTCACCTATTCTACCTCCAAATCTCAATATTCTTGCTAGAAAAAATCCACCTACTTCTAAAAGACAGGCAACTACAAGTCTCCACCTCCTTCTAGGAGAAATAAGAAATGATGATTTTGTTCCATTTTGTCCTTAGTCCTTGTCTCCTCAGATTTCTTGAAAACTCTATCTAATGTGATTTAGATAAAATCAGCCTGTTTTGGAGTGGAAAACCAGGATGGATTCTCCAGGATGTCTCTGGTTCCTGAATAGACAAACCACAGAAAATTGATTCTTTAAGTTCCTTTCCTGCCAGGGGTGGTCAAAGAAGCCAGACCTCTGAAACGCGCTCTGTGTAGCTGCGCCTGCAGCTCGGTGTTTCCCAAGCACCAGGAGCCATCGGAATAGGACCCCATCTCCAGGAAAGGAAATGGGCCTCTGGTGGGCAAGAGGTGGGGAATTCCTCAAGCTGAGACTGCCCACCAAACTCCAGCAGAGGTCCCACTGCCACCAAGCCCCTGTCCATGGTCCCTCCTGGCATCCTGGCTCCCAGGAGCCCCGGGACTCAGCTTCTCCATTCTCCGGCGTAAAAAGGGGCTTACTGAAGTGTCCAGCCAAATAACTTACAGTCACTTATGGCTTAAAATCGAGTCCCATCTGGTTCAAAGAATTCTCAGGGCTTTCTTCTATTACAGGATAGGCCTAGTTTATCACATGCCAAGCATTGTTCTAAGCACTTTACCCAAGAGCGCTCACAACATTATCTAATCCCTACTAACGCCTACAACATACCTATCTACTATTATTTTCCCTATTTACAGATTGGAAAAGTCAGGCACAGGGAGGTTAAGCAATTTACCAAGATCACCCAGCCAGTTAGTGAGTGGTAAAGCCAGGATTACACAGGTCACCTGGCTCCCTGTATATCTAGCCACTGTGCTTGACTGTGGATGGGGGCTGGGAAGAAACAAGAAGGGAGAAAGAAGAAGAGAATGCGGTCCCTGAAGCCAGAGACTAGAGAGTTTCTGAACGTGGAGAGCAGCATAAGCCTGATTGCCAGAGAAGCAGCCATAGAACGTAGAGTGGTGAGTGGGGGAGTGGGACAGCGTGTTGAGGATTAGTGAGATGTGAGGGCTAGAGTCGGGGTGGGGAGGGCTTTCTTTCGAGTAGTCTGGCCTTAAGGAGGAGGAAAAAAGTGACGGATGAGAGGGGAAGGAAAAGGGCAGCCACTGGTCGCTCCAGGCAAGTGCCTGGTCCTGTGTTCTGCTGCAAAGTTCCTCCCGCCAGAGTTCTCAGGGCTCTGGGAAACCCCCACTTTCCAGCTGAATTTTAGTGTCAATTTTATGCCAGCTGCTTAGGCAAGCTTTACATAGGAAAGAAACATGAGCCACAGCGGCATCCTTCCTGGATTTAAAGAATCAATCCTATTTGTTATGATCCAGAGTCTGTCATCCTTTTCCTTCTCTTTCCCTTAACTGCCTTCCCTTGTGTGGAGGTAGGGACAGGGTAGCTAATGGGTTAATTCGGAGACAACCACCGAGAGGAGCTTCCTAGAGAGCCCAGGAAGTCGCCTTGGTTCCCACCGAGGCTTCCTGTGCCCCAGCGTCAACTTCTCTCCCGCGTCTGGAGAGTGATCACTTCCACCCCCGAAGACATCCTCTGGGATACTTACTGTGGGATTCACAGTGGGGTGCAGAGGACGCCCCCCAGACGCACGGGCTGCAGGAGAGATCTGTGCAGCTGCGCCTCGGGGGTGTCCCGGGCCCCCGGGCATGAGAGGAGGGTTTCACATGCGGTTTTACTGGGCGATTTACCACCGTTCCAGAATCCTCTGAAGATACACAGGTCGCCACTGGCGTGAGACGTGGCTACTGCCGAGGGTCGGGATGGCTAGAGACGCCCCGTCTGCAGCGGACAAGACGGGGCTCCTGACCGTGAAGGTGGAGGAGGAGGAAGCCTCCGCCTTGACGGTGGAGCTGAGCGCACCCGGCAGCCCTGCTGGGGGCCCCGAGCGCTCCCGCCAGCACTTCCGAGGCTTCCGCTTCCCGGAGGCTGCGGGCCCCCGCGAGGCGCTGAGCCGGCTCCGAGAGCTCTGCAGACAGTGGCTGCAGCCTGAGATGCACAGCAAGGAGCAGATCCTGGAGCTGCTGGTGCTGGAGCAGTTCCTGACCATCCTGCCGGGGAACGTGCAGAGCTGGGTGCGGGAGCAGCATCCAGAGAGCGGGGAGGAGGTGGTGCTGCTGCTGGAGTATTTGGAGAGGCAGCTGGAGGAGCCGGCGCCGCAGGTAGAAAGACCAGGTTTAGTATCTCAGCGCTGTGGTGCGTTTCCTCCTGACATCTCAAGATCGGAGTGAGGGGCATCCCCTTAAGGTCCGGGAGTTCTCCATCTCTTTTTGTACCGCCAACCTCCTTGGCAGTAAGGCGGAGTCCCTGGACTCCCTCTCAGAATTAGAGTTTTAAACACACAAAGAAACTATGCAGGATTACAAAAGAGCGCAACCATATTGACATACAGTTAGCAAAGAGTTAAATTTGTATTAAAGTCATATGCGCGGTTTGTTATTACTGCATTAAATACGTGACCTAGGGACGGGATTCTAACTGGCAATTTCAAAACGGTGATAAACGTGTATTTGCCTGGTTGTAACGTGATGGGAAAACATGTGCAGGTTCTATTGGTGACAAAGTCCTGGGTGTTGCTTACGGTACCTTGAGTTGTTGCTCCCATTCGTAACTGAAGGAAATGCTAACTCTCTCATAAAGACCAGTAACAATAAGATGAGTTTTTGTCCCATCTAAGTTCATGGACCACTTGGGACAAAATCCATGGACCACTGGTTATGAACCTCTGGCATAAAGTGGGCCGATTTCTGTGCCCATCTTCCTCCCTGTTTTATGAGCTGGTTTCTTCTTTGCATCATCCTGTGTCCCTGTGCACACACCTCAGAGGACCTGTGTGGCCAGAGCCTTCTAACTGGAGAGCTGGATGCCAAGGTTCTTGACTTGGGTCTGTTGCACCCGAGTCCTGTAACAGTGGGAAGTCACTGCAAGTCTCTCAGCTTCATTCTTTATAAAGGACGTGGGAAAATGTGAGACAGTAACTTGAAAACTGTAATTTAACTATAATTGTCTGGAAGGAAACTTGCTTTAAATGAGGACATAACTATGTGCCAGGCCCTGTGTTAGGTGATTTCACGTACTGTGATCTTATTTATGGGTTTCCAAAACCCCATAAAGTAGAAATTATTATCCTCATTTTTCAGATTAGAAAATATGTTAGTATTCTTTGAGAATTCAGCACCAGTGTCCAAAGGGTTTTCGCAAACACACAGATGTATATAATGAGGGAGCCTAGAGTAATGGTAAGAACATGGAGTCTGGAGTCATTCTGTCTGAGCTCCCATCCTAGCATTGCTACTTACTAGCAGGGTGACATGGGCAAGCTGCTTAAACGCTGTCCACGCAGGAGAGAGGATTAGGGCCACGTCTCCATCTTCAGCAAATTATCGCAAAAATCCAGAATAATAGCTCATAGGGTTGTTATCTATATTAATTGTGTTAATATCATAAGGCTTGGAGAAACAGTGCCTAGAAAATAGAAAGCACATGGAAAGCGTAACAGAAATGTTGGGTAGATAACTAAAACTAATGACTTCTAGGTTCCAGTTGGTCACCAGGGGCAAGAACTGCTCTGTTGCAAGATGGCACTATTGACACAAACGCAAAGGTCTCAGAGTAGCCAATGCCAGCCAATGAAGGCTCTGTTCAAGCATGAATCTCTGGGATCCCAGCCCTTACAAGACCGAGGTGAGTATTCTTTTCTGGGTTGTATGAATTCTAGAGACTTCATCCAATTTCATTTAAAGATCACCTAAAAGATCCATTTACAGTTACTTTATATGCTCATGACTGAGAGACTGTATTTTAAGACTGAGACTAAATGAGAAATTTCAAACAATGGTGCAAAACCTTCCTAACCAAACTAGGACACAGTAAACCTGATTTCTTTAAAATTAAACAACATGGTGACCTCCATTCATTAAAGATATATTTAGGGAGGCCTTGTCTATGGTAGCCAGTGTGGAAGGCACTGGGGAGAAGCCAACAATAAGACAGAATTCTTGCTTTGATGGGTTTACATTCTAGCAGGGAGGACAGCAAATAAATTAATAATACAATTGTAGATATTGGTAAGTGCTATGAAGAAAATAAGGCAGAATTTGTAAAGCCAGCCAGAACATTCCAGAGGTAATAAAACTACTGCAGGTGGAAGAAGATAACTCTAAACCCTGTAAAAGCTGTAACTAGAACGGAGCTAGTATCACTTAATAGGGAGCAGCTGTGTGTTCCATGCTGTTCCTCATCTGCTGTGAACATGTGGGCAGATTCCTAAGACATACAACACTTGGACATGCCATCCAACACGCAATCTTTATTTCTCAGCAGAGATCCCGGCCTAAACCAACTTGTTTCTGCCCCTTGCAAACTGACTTATTGTGGGGAAACCTAAGGTTTCTTCTACTCTTTTGAGACTGAGCAAGTTCTATTTAAGCAGTCTTCCATTTCCTCATGTATAGACCCAGCGTTTTCTGACTCCTCCTAGTTTTTCTTTTTTTTTTTTTTTTTTGAGACGGGGTTCTCACTCTGTCACCCAGGCTGGAGTGTGACCCAGGCTGGAGTGTGAGCTGGAGTGTCACCCAGTGTGACTTTGGCTCACTGCAACCTGTCTGTCAAGGTCAAGCAATCCTCCCACCTCAGCCTCCTGAGTAGCTGTGACCACAGGCCCATGTCACCACACCCAACTAATTTTTTGTAATTTTGGTTTAGATGGGTTTCTCCAGGTTGCCCAGGATGGTCTTGAGCTCCAGAACTCAGGCAATCCACCTGTCTCAACCCCACAAAGTGCTGGGATTACAGGCATGAGCCACTGTGCCTGGCCTCCTCCTAGTTTTTCCAACCTGAAGTAGAAAGCATCCTGATATCTACTAAAGACATTTTAACCAAAACAAAACAAAAACAAAAACAGAAAAATCCTCTTTACTCCCCATTTCCTAGCAAAATTCAAAATCCAAAGGTCTTCAAATGGAAAGCTTTGTTATGTTGTTTTCATTTCACTACTCCTACCAAGGATTCTACACCTGGTTTTTGTGTATCTGCAGAGCACGCCAGATTTCTTTCGGCCCTAGGACTGGAGCTGGTGGGAATCAAGCATTTTTGAAAGGAACACATTCTATATAAACTTATTGGCAAGAGCTTACTACCCCAGTTATTTAAGTTGGATTTTGCAAGGCAGGGAGGCTGAATACTAGGGTAGTTCTCACCCAGAGCTTCTTTCCTTCTTAGTTCTCCAGGTTCCTGGGCTTGCCCAGGGAGGGCACTGCAGAGAAGATGCAATGGTAGCTTCCAGGCTCACTCCAGGGCCCCAGGTGAGCTGGAGCTCCTCTCCCTCCCCCAGCACCCCACCCTTTTTACTAATGTTGGGCTCTGCATTAGGTTCTTCCCTCTCCAGTCCTACCCCACCCCTATCCTAGGTCTACATGGATTTGAGTTTTCTCATCTATCCCAAAGTTGCATATTGTTGTCTTCCTTCATTGGTGCCCAGCCAAGATTTTCCTGTTTCACAGCAACCTTGGAGTGTTCTTTGTGCTTCTCAGACCTTTCCTACTACATGCCTCTTCCTCAATGTGATCTTTCTTCTTCAACAAGGGCAGTTCAGCAAATGCAAACTGAAGGTTTTATTGGGATGGTCATTCTGTTTAGCTGTTTAAAGTAAAACAAGCTGTGCTGTTGATGGGGATATAAAGGCCTGGCCCTTGCCCTCAAAGAACTTTTACTTGGAAGGTCCGATAAGGCACAGCCTCTTAGTCTAAAGTTATTTATATTACAATATGCACACTCTTTTTTAACCTAGATTTCAATTTACTACTCAGCCTTTCATGTCCTGCTTGAAGATCCCCTTGTTTGAGGCTATTATTCTTTTCTCCCCACTAATTTTCTCACTTCAGTCCTAGATTTCATGTATTTTTTAAACTACTAACGTAAATGAACCCCTACCCTCACTTGCCAAAGCATTCTGCAAATCTTTGGAAAAATTTGGACATAGTTCTTTTGCTACATTGACCCTTGTTTTCGAAACCTGTCAGTCTTCTGGGCTGTTTAGATATTTATATGAAAGTACTTATCCTAAACTGTGTGTAAGATTTCTTTCGTTTCGCAGGTTTTCTGGATAAAGATCTTGTTAGAGATAAATTGGTGTAGGTGTGCCACACATGCTCTTTTTTAAGGAGCCTCTTTAAAGGGGATGTTCATTCTTTGCTTTGGGGGTAATTTTGGGCACGAAGAGCTAGTTATGAGTACCTGTTGTTTTAGGGGTTGCTGAAAATGGAAGATGTGGCCCTGGCCCTCTCTCCTGGGTGGACACAGCTGGATTCATCTCAGGTGAACCTCTACAGAGATGAAAAGCAGGAGAACCATGGCAGCCTGGTCTCCCTTGGTAAGACTGAAGGACACTAATTTCTCATAAGATTTCTTGGCGTTCTTTGTGTATTAGAACCTACTGGGCTGTTAGAAGCTGTTGAGTCCCATTATGTTTGGATTCAGAATCACCATTTCTGAAAACCTGTTACTGACTACTAGCTCCTTACTCCTGACTTGAGTTCCCCTCTGCCATGCCAGTGTTCTATTTAGGATAAGTGGGATGAAGTTGACACAATTCTAGTACAGGTCTGGCTCATAGGAGAGGATCAGTAAATGCAGATGTCCTCTTGTTCCTGTCCCTGACTGAAGAGGAAAGCTGGGGACCTCTTCAGAAAATGGGCCGTGGTTTCAGAATGGGAGAGCGAGAAGCAACCTTAGACATCAACTACAGACCCTGACCTTAGGGGCGAGGGTGCAGAGGTGTAGATTACCTCACTTGTTTGAGACCCCATAGCTTATTGGTGGCACAGTGAGGCCTCTAACTCAGAACTCCTAGCACCAATGCCAGTTCTGTTTGGGAACTTTGCCTCTGCCGGGGTCAAAGAGACGATGGCCTGTGTCATTGATCTGTTACCAATTTCTAGTCTTCACTTTTGCCATTTTTACAGATGCTTCAGAAATCCTTCCACTTGCCCTGTTACTATCGCCTTCTGCTCAGCCTTTTCAAAATCTAATCCTAGGTGCATGGCCCTGCCTTGCCATTCATGGAGCTTAGAACCACCACCTATGTCCCCCGCACAGTCCTGGGTTCTCACCACTTTCCCTCCACTCCCTATTTGTGCGCCTCCAATGGCCCCATTCCCATTCTCAGGTCTCCCTCCTCCCCAGCACTCGGCTCTTGCCTTTTGTTCCCATCCTTATTCTAGCACTTAAATCCTCATCCCGGGCATTTGTAGACCTCGGTCATTTCTGCCTCCCTGGTACTAATCACAGAGCTTTCCTCCCATGGCAGGGCGTAGCCCACAGTTGCCGGCCATTTGTTGTTTTAGGTGGTGAAATACAGACTCAGAGCAGGGACTTGCCTCCAGCCGAGGAGCTTCCAGAAAAGGAGCATGGGAAGATATCGTGCCACCTGAGTGAAGACATTGTCCAGATTCCTACATGTGCAGAAGCTGCTGAACAGGAGGGCAGGTTACAAAGGAAGCAGAAAAATGCCACAGGAGGGAGGCGGCACATCTGCCATGAATGTGGAAAGAGTTTTGCTCAAAGTTCAGGCCTGACTAAACACAGGAGAATCCACACTGGTGAGAAGCCCTATGAATGTGAAGACTGTGGGAAGACCTTCATTGGGAGCTCTGCCCTCGTCATTCATCAGAGAGTCCACACTGGTGAGAAGCCATATGAGTGTGAAGAATGTGGTAAGGTCTTCAGTCACAGCTCAAACCTTATCAAACACCAGAGAACCCACACTGGGGAGAAGCCCTACGAGTGTGATGACTGTGGAAAGGCTTTCAGTCAGAGCTGCAGCCTCCTTGAACATCACAAAATCCACACTGGGGAGAAGCCATATCAGTGCAATATGTGCGGCAAAGCCTTTAGGCGGAACTCACATCTCCTGAGACATCAGAGGATTCATGGTGATAAAAATTTTCAGAATCCTGAGCGTAGAATGTCCTGGGAAGGTCAGGGTAGGACAGAAAGCCAGTGGGAAAATGTTGAGGCTCCCGTGTCTTATAAATGTAATGAATGTGACAGAAGTTTCACACGGAATCGAAGTCTTATTGAACATCAAAAAATCCACACTGGTGAGAAACCCTATCAGTGTGACACATGTGGAAAAGGTTTCACTCGAACTTCATACCTTGTTCAACATCAGAGAAGCCATGTAGGGAAAAAAATTCTTTCCCAGTGACCCACGGTATTCAGGCCAACATTGGTGCTCATTTGTCTTTGAACGGAGGCCGCCCTGGAGCCCTTCATGCTTACAGAAGTTGTTTAGCATGCACATCATCAGGTATTGGAAAATGTGGTCTGGTTGACATGATGAGTTCGCGCCCACATTCTGTAAAGTGACTGGAAGAAGTCATTTGATAGGAGGCCATAGAGAGTCGTCTGGAAGTTGTAGACTCACCCAGTGGATTTAAATGGCCTTCTGGACTGGCTAACGGCCCTCAGCCAGCACTTTATGACATCTGCTTGGATGGCCCTGATCTGGGGGGCTACTGCTCTGACCATTTATTTTGCCTCTAATGAATCTTTCACAGCTTGTTCAGATCCATGAGGTCTTTTACTCCCCATTGTGCCTTGTATATAGGTGCTAATATACATTTATTAAATGTACCAGTAAAATGACCTTTGTAGCTGTGAAAATCTTGTGTTGTCTAGATTTCTGAAAAATTTCTAACTTACGCCCCTTGTGTTTATGTACTGTTCTCTGAAGTTCTAGATTCTGGGTCAATCTAGTGTATTTGTTGCCACATATGTACTGTTTTCAGAATTGGGGTGGGGAATCCATATTTCTTCACCATGATAGTACAGATGGGAAGAACGCCTTAAACAGCTTCTTTGTCATTAAGACATGTGAGGCGGTTCCACAGAACTCCACTCTTTAGCCTATGTTAATTTTGCTAGTGTTTAGGGGGAACTCTTTCACATTCAGGTCAATAAAAATCAACTTACCAAGTTAGATCAAAATGATTATGAATTTTGAACACATTCTGTAACACTTACCATCTTGTTTCTGACCGTTTCATTATCTTGGGCCTAAGTGCTGAGATGTCATCTGTGTCCCTCTTCCCCAACTTATACCTGACTGTGCATCGAGACTTATGCCAGCTAAGCTTAAACTTTCTCCAGGTCAGAAGATGCATACCAAATATTTATGATTATTAATCATGGTTTCAAAAGTGCCCTGTCAGTTGGGGTAGGAAGACCAGGTCAGAGGCAGCTTATGAAGATAGAAACTCACATGTGAGTGGTAGGAGAAAATGTATCTCTTCAGGCCAGGTGCCATTGCTCATGCCTAGGGGAGACTAAGGCGGGTGGATGACATGAAGTCAGAAGTTTGAGACAGCATGATCAATACGGTGAAACCCCATCTCCACAAAAAATACAAAAATTAGCCAGGCATGGTGGCACATGCCTGTAATTCCTGCTACTTGGTAGGAGAATCACTTGAACCTGGGAGGTGGAGATTGCAGTGAGCCGAGATCGTGCCACTGCCCTCCAGGCTGGTGACAGAGTGACTGAGACTCTGTCTCAAAAAGTTAAGAAAAGAAAGAAAACGTATCCATTCAGAAACACATTGAGGATCCTAGGTATCTGATGAAAAGGACTGTATAATATCCAGGGTGTCCATATGTGATGTCAAGACTCAATGCTGAGTTACTCACAAGGAATAAGAATTTTTTGATATTTTTTGTTTTCCCCCAAATCACCTGCGTGCTTAAAAGACTGATTTCTGAAGTGCTCAAGTGCCTACTAGCGTCTTCCAGCACTGCCGGACTGTCGTGAATGGACTCTGCTTCTGACGAAATCCCTGGCTACATTTCACTCGGTCATCAGCCTGGTGTTCTTGTCTATTCTCAATTACCCTTTCCGGATTCCTGCTCTGAAATACCACAGACTGGCCAGAGACTTTCAAAACCATACCGCTCTCCCTTTATTAATTCCTATAATCTTTTCTTGCCTTCACTGGCTCCTTTTCAATCTAACTGAAAACTTCTTTAGCTTTCCAAAGCTCTGTAGACTTTCTCTACTCAATCTTTTCTAGCCTTTAAAAATTTTTTAAATCAACCCTATGTTATTTCCACAAAGCTAGCCATTTCCTTTTCTCTCCTTTCATTTTTAATTTTTCTCACTATTTGCTAATACCTCTGATCTTACACAATTTAAACTCATTAGAGACAACTCTATTCACTTTTCTGTTACATTTGTTTCTGACGTTACATGAAGAGATACATGTGAAAGCTTTTTATAACCCGGAAAGCATTACACAAATACAGCTTCTAAGATTAACTAAGGACCACTGTGCCTCCTTCCACTCCTGTGCCTCCAAGCCTAAGTCTTCTCTGTAGAGGAGGAAACTACCGTAGAAAAATACTTTTCAGTGTCTGCTATGCCAGATGAGATGAAATAACGCCTGTGTGTGTGCGTGTGTGTGAGTGTGTGTATGTACACACACGCACACACCCACACACACTTGAGCTTAGGCCTTAAGTACAATCAGGTTGGTAAGACTTGCAGTGATAAATGCCTTATGAGTATAAAATGAGGCTTGTGGAAGTTCAGAGGAGGAAAAGGATGCTTCAGGTGTGGAAGCTGTTATTATTACATGCACAGGGTGACGTGTTAGAAAGCTAAAAAGACTCACAACGTTGTCAAATTTAGTAAATAAAGCAAGTTGGAAGAGATAGGTACACTGCAGGGGTCTTCAGTGCCAGAGCAAAAACTTCAAATTTTATTCAGTAATCACGGGGGAGCCACTGATATTTTGTAATCAAAATATTATGTAGGAAACTTTATCTGGTATATAATTTCAAATAAGAAAATCATTTTGTTTACAGTCTTTTAGATACCCCACTTTATTTAAAACAAAGGTATGTGTTTATAAATAGGTGAATTATAAAATGGGTTTATCTGTAGCCTACTGAAAAGGATGGCCAAAAAAGTTATTTTCCAATGAAATTAGATCCAGTAAAATAAACGGCTTAGTTAAGATATAAGCAGTATATAAAGCATAATAACATCCCACTTTTCATGCTTTCTTAAATTGTTTGTAGGAATGTTGGTGGTGACTAGTCTGCCATTCTCTTTCCTTTCTGTAACCGAAGCAGTGTAGAAATCCTCTATTTTCTTTTTTCTCCCTTTGCCTGGGTAGGAACTGGTTATAGCATTTTTTTTTCTACTTTAATAAAATGAATGGTTACAATGACAAAAGTTTTTGATGAATAGTGCTCTTGGATATGTTCTTAATTTTGGCAAAGATATATGTAATTCTGCAAAAGAGTTTTTCTGTCTCTTCCTTTAGTGAAAAAAAAAAAGGAAAAAGGCCGACATACCTCACAGGATTCCAAGGATCCGCTGATACAAACAAGAAGTGCTGTGTAAAAACCCTGACAATGTTGCTGAGAGAAGTGGAGATTGAGCACTTTGTTAATGGAAACCTCCATGTGATGGAATTATAACTGCTTAATAAAAAGACTATATTTTAAAAGTCCTGTAACTATTTGACAGCATTGGTCTTCTTCTAATAATCTCCCAAGTTACCTTCTAATAATTACCTTCTAGTAGTTTCCCAAACATCTATGGTACCGTTTCCTTCATTACTCATAAGAACTTTACCCACTAAGTAAACTCCATTGATCTTCTCTGAACACCTGCTTTAGTCCATCTTTGGTTTTTCCTCATGACAGTCAAAATTGGGTCTGACAGATTCAAATGATAAAGCTATTTTTCAGTCAGCTTTGCATAAGTAGTATCTATTTTGTACATTTCAAAGGGAGTTGCTGTGACAGAAATTTTTCAAGATGACTACTCTCCATGACTACTTTCTTGTGAACTTTATAAAACGTATCACGTTCCCTTATTATAGAAATATCCTTTCATTGTTGTATTTACTCAGATTTCTCACTTGGTTTCTGGCATTTGCAGTCCCCTTCTATTTTCAATGTCCACCTATGACCCTGGAATTTGAATACAGCAAGATTTCCTGGTCTCCTCTCCCAATTAATGGTTGAACATTGAGGTATATTCCTACCTATTCTGTGTATTTTGTTGTATTGGAATATTATCCAAAATCCTCTGCATGCTTTTTCAAATTCCTGTTTTTAATTGCCATTTCTAAAGTGGGTACTTCAAGGTTTTCAGGGATCCAGGAAAGCAATCCTAATGTAACTTATTTGTATACAAGTAATAAACCATATGACTATTCCTTTCCTCTGAGCGAATTATTAAATAGATCGTGGATTGCACAATTTCCAAACTGTCAGAAAACAACTGTCATTTCCAGGATTAACTAAAGCATTAGAACCTTTAATGATTTTCTCCCTTTTATTCTCTCCCACCAGTTCTGCCCATAAGCACTGGGAGCCTGGGAAATGGAGTTTGTAGCCTTACAGACCCACCAATAGCACAGGGTAGAGAACACCCGCTGAGGGGCTGAGAGATATGAGGGATACAAGAGATACACAAGATACATGACTGGCTTTTCATTGTAACCTCAGCACCTAAAAGAGTTCCTCTTAGATCAGTGAATGTGGAAATTGGCTGACTCAACTTTTCCTTTTATATTATTTAAGTAAATCAAAATTCCTTCACAGCCAAAATATTTGCATATCTGCTTCCAGAAATACTAGTTTTTCCGTATTTCTAAAGCAGTTATGTATTCCTAACTATTCATTCAACAACCCCCAATTGCTTACATCATGTCTGTGTTCAGGCACTAAGGAAATAAAGATGAACAAGATATTGCCTGTGCCCTGGAAGAGCTTGAGAGCTACTCTCTATTTTTACCTGCCAGGTTTGGATTTGTGGCTTACTTTTAAGGCAGATTCAGAAGCTGATAATTTCTCAGAACCTTCATTGCTACCATCCTGGTCTGAGCCACATTTGCTCTCCCATGATTATTACTATGGAGCCTACAAATGAGTCTCCCCATGGTCTCTTCTCAATGTAGCAGTCAGAGTAACCTTTTAAAAATCCTTGCATGATCTAAGTGGGATCACACACATCGTTCTTGCACTCAAAACCCTGCAGTGGTCTCCATCTTCTCCAAAATCGACAGCCTAAGCCCTTTCAGATGTAGGCAAGGCTCTGCACAGTCTGGCTTCGCATTACTTCTCTTCTCTGACCTCTTATCTCAACCTTTTTTTTTTTTTTTTTTTTTGAGGCAGGGGTCTCACTTTGTCACCCAGGCTGGAGTACAGTGATGTGATCTTTGCTCACAGCAAACAATGCCTCCTGAGTTCAAGAAATTTTCCTGCCTCAGTCTCCTGAGTAGCTAGGATTACTGGCATGTGCCACCACATCTGGCTAATTCTTGTATTTTTAGTAGAGACACGGTTTCACAATGTTGGCCAGGCTGGTCTTGAACTCCTGACCTCAAGTGATCCACCCACCTTGGCCTCCCAAAGTGCTGGGATTACAGGTGTGAATTTCTGTGCCCAGCCCTGTGACCTGTTCTAACCCTCTTCACCTCAATCACTGTTCCAACCACACTGACCTCTTTGTTGTTTCTTGAACACACAGGCAAACACCCATTCATGGTCTCTGCTCTAGCTACTAACTCTTCCTAGAATGATTTACTTGGCCAACTTCCTAACCTCTTTTAAGCCTCCACTCAAATGCCATTCCTTCCATAAAACCTAATTCGGCCACCTTATTGGATGTGCAACCTGCCCTTCACAAAGTGGCATGCCTGATCCTCTCCTTAGCCTGCTGGGGTGTTTTAAGTATCATTTTACCACCTCCTAATGGTTCACTATCTGACTACCCCAGCCTGAAAGATAAACTCCAAAAAGGCAGGGGCATTTGTGCATACCCTAAGATACACCACGTCTGCCAAACAGTAGGTGCTTAATAAATGTTTGTTAGACTATATTTGTTATTTGTTCACAGACTATGGGCAGGCTCAGTATTCTAAGTAACTAGAGAACACGGTACTAGCAACCCTTTTTTTCCCCTTCAACTTTTAAGTTTCGGGGTACATGTGCAGGAAATGCAGGTTGGCTACATAGGTAAACATGTGACATGGTGGTTTGCTGCACAGATCAACCCGTTACCCAGGTATTAAGCCAAGCATCCACCAGCTATTCTTCCTGATGCTCTCCCTCTCCCTAACCACCTCCCACACCAAAAGGCCCCAAATGTCTGTTATTCTCCCCAGTGTGTCCATGTGTTCTCATCATTTAGCTCCCATTTATAAGTGAGAACATGTGGTGTTTGGTTTTCTGTTCCTGCAAGAGTTCACTGAGGATAATGACTTCCAGCTCCATCCATGACCCTGAAAAGGACACGATCTTGTTCCTTTTTATGACTGCATAGTATTCCATGGTGTATATGTACCACATTTTCTTTATCCAGTCTATCATTGATGGGCATTTGGGTTGATTTCATGTCTTACTATTGTGAATAGTACTGCAATGAACATATATGTGCATATATCTTTATAAAAAATTATTTATATTCCTTTGGGTATATATCCAGTAATGGGATTGCTGGGTCAAATAGTATTTTGGCCTCTAGATCTCAGAGTAATCACCACGGTGATGTCTTCCACAATGGCTGAACTAATTTCCTCTCCCACCAACAGTGTAAAAGCATTCCTTTGTCTCTACGACTTCGGCAGCACCTGTTGTTTCTGGACTTTTTCACAGTCACCATTCTGACTGGAGTGGGTTGGTATCTCACTGTGGTCTTCCTTTGCATTTCTCTCATGATCAGTCATGTGGAGCCACATGAATGTCTTCTTTTTAGAAGTTCTGTTCGTGTCCTCTGATCACTTTTTAATGGGGCTTTTTGCTTTTTTACTGTAAATTTGTTTGAGTTCCTTGTAGACACTGGATATTAGACTTTGTCAGATGGATAGATTGCAAAATTTCCTCCCATTCTGTAGACGGTCTGTTCACTCTGATGATAGTTTCTTTTGCTGTGTGGAAGCTCCTTAATTAGATCCCATTTGTCAATTTTTGCTTTTGTGGCAATTGCTTTTGGCATCTTTGTCATGAAATCTTTGCCCGTGCCTATGTATTGAATGGCATTGCCTTGATTTTCGTCTAGAATTTTTAGACATTGAAGTCTTTAAGAGGAGGGGGTCGGGAGGTAGGAAAGTAGTCAGAATTCACAGTACCTACATTTGGTAAGAACCCAAAAGTTTAAAAATTAACATGTGTAGCCTGGAGTCTATGAAACCCTTAGATTATTTAGCAGAAGTAATGCAAAATAACTTTGGAATGACACTTCCATAATTTAGGATACAGTGGACTACCAAAAGAAAAAAAATTCCTCTTGAAAATGAGTATATGGCCCTTTTCACAAGATGCCGCCGAAAGTGAAGAAGGAAGCTCCTGCCCCTCCAAAAGCCGAAGCCAAAGCAAAGGCTTTTAAGGCCAAGAAGGCAGTGGTAAGAGGTATCCACAGCCACAGGAAAAAGAAGATCCGCACGTCACCCACCTTCCGGCGGCCCAAGACACCGCGACTCCGGAGGCAGCCCAGAATCCTCCGAAGAGCGCCCCCAGGAGAAACAAGCTTGACCATGATGCTATCATCGAGTTTCCGCTGACCACTGAGTCTGCCATGAAAAAGGTGGAAGACAACACTTGTGTTCATTGTGGATATTAAAGCCAACAAGCACCAGATCAAACAGGCTGTGAAGAAGCTCTATGACATGGATGTGGCCAAGGTCAGCACCCTGATTCTGCCTGATGGAGAGAAGGCTTATGTTCGACTGGCTCCTGATTACGATGCTTTGGATGTTGCCAACAAAATTGGGATCATCTAAACAGTCCAGCTGGCTAATTCTAAATATATGTATATCTTTTCACCATATATATGCCTCTCTGTCAATTTCTGCTTGGATTGGAGGCTATACACAGGAACTGTTGTAACTTGCCCACTGCTTGGGCAAGACTCCTGTTCTCCTTAACCTTTTTGAAACTCACCCTGCCACTGATCACTCCAGATATCTTTGTGACTAGTGTTAGTGTCCTAGGAAAACCAGAACTCAGAGCTTGCCTCCATGGTTGAGGGTAACACAAAGCTTTACAAGAACCCCTTTCATCCCTCAAAGAGGCTGTGTGTGAAACCAGTGCCGAGAGTTTGAAGCACGTTAGCATCCATTTCAGGAGAGTGTGGGTTGGCTGGCTTTCGAGTAGCATTTTGTCCTCACACACCCATCTACTATGTCCAACCGGTCTGTCTGCTTCCCTCTCCCCATGCCCAATAAAGGACAAGGACAAAAAAAAAAAAAAGAAAAAGAAAGAAAGAAAATGAGTATATGATGGAAAATTACAAACCACAGGAGGAAGCATTTACCCTTGAAGAAGGATCAGTAGAAATAAACAAGAGTTGGCCTCTCAACAACTTCAGATAATGTTATAATCTAAATGAAACTATAAAATATGTTTAGCCCATTTAAAGATTTTTTTAGAGGTCTAGAAACCATAATGGAAGACTAGAATATAAAGTGAAAAGAACAGACAGATTTGGAAAGGAACCGAATAGAGC